TCCTGCCTGAGCTGAGGGTTCGGGGCTGTGGGGGAGATGGCGCCCCAGCTCCAGCCAGGCGGATGGGAGGCCCCTTTGGGCGGCTGGGCCCGGGGAGGGGGAGGAAGGCCCTGAACTCCCAGGGCCTCAGCCTTCCTGGGGAATCTCCCCCTCATCACGGAGGGAGGAGAGCCATCCGCCTGCGTAGCTGGCAGGTCTTCTCTCTTAGCCTGCTTCTTCACCCCTACAGCTGAAGGTGACCTCAGGTGTGGACGGTACCTGGCATGGTACAGGTATACACGTTTGTTTTCTTCTCACTCTTCCCTTCCTGAAGTGTTTCTACTCCCAAGAGGTGACCTTTTATACCGTGAGGCTGCCCCTCAGTCTGACAGAGGCAGGTCCCGCCTCGGAGCCTGCCAGGGAGAGAAGGGACGCTGAGCGCAGCTGGCAGGGGGCCCAGCCACATCCCGCGGGGCGGGCTCCCTTGCTTGTCTGGGAGATGAGGTGACTGAGCAAGGAGAACCTCTCGCCCTGGGGGGCTTTGCCTAGCCTTGCCTCCGTGGCCCTGAAGGCAGGAGTGTGCTCCGAGGGTCACTACAGGCTCCCTGGCTGGCCGGCCAGCTCAGCTGTGGGTCCTGACTCCTGACCCCAGCCTGAAGGACAGGAAGACGCCCCTGGCGTGAGACCCGACATACCACATGTCTGTCCTTTTCCCTCGCTGGTGATTTTTCTCTTTCAGCATCAGATTGGGTTTGTAGCCCTGCTGAGCTGTGTAGGCTGAGATGACAGTGAGCTGAAGCAGTCGTTTGTGGCTGAGGAGGTGCTGGGGGGTCAGGGGTGCATATCTGTACCCCAGGAGGCAGGGGGAGTCATAAATCATCCACAGACATGGTAACAGCTCCGCCTCCACCTCTGATGTGAGTCACGGGAGGGCTGTTGCCGTCTTAGCCTATGGTTAGCACCTTGTATTCTAGGCCTTTTGGTCAAGGATCCTCCAGACGGTGGCTGCTCCCTGATCCAGGACCACCCCGCCCCACCCTTTGCTCACAGGATCACGGTGGAAGCTTCCAAGCCAACCTCTCCCCCTCCAGCCTGGTCACTGGAGCTGGAGTGACAGGAGGGAGGGAGGGAGGCGAGTGAGATGAGAGGTTACAGGCACGGCTTTGGCATCAAGCTGCCTCGGTTTAGATTTCAGCTACTATGTGACTTTGGACAAGTTCTTAATTTCTCTGTCCCTCAGTTTCCTCATCCACAAGGTGGGGATGATGGTAACACCTGCCTCATGGAGTTGTTACTAGGATTCACTGGGATAAAGCATAGCGGCACTCGACACTGGAGACTGGCTAGTTCTTTGCTGTGGGGGGCTGCCCTGTGCATCATAGCGTGCTGAGCAGCATCGTAACCTCTACCTGCTAGAGGCCAGTCGCAGCCTTTCCCGCCCCCATCATGGCAACCAAAGATGTCCCCAGACACTGCCAAATATCCTCTGGCTGGCAAAAGTGCCCCCCACTGGGAATCACAATTCTAAGTCATCTCCTGTTAAATCTCCAGTTTCCCCATTGCTCAGAATCACAGCTGGGCCTCCTGGACCTACAGGCACTAAATGTGTGGTGTCTTGTAAAAAACTGTTTCCCTCTTCTGTGTTCAGGCCATTTATTGATTCAGTCCACCGCTGGTTGGGCTTTTGAGGTATCAAGTGACATCTTAACAGAATCTTCTTTGTTAAATTGCCCTGTGATCTGACCGGTTGGTGGCTACTCCACTCAAGATGCATTTTGTTGCTTGCTTTTTTAATAACAAACAACTGTCCTTATTATAATTTTCCCAGACTGGAGTAATAAACAGCTCTGATGACAGCTGTACCAGATAGTAAGTAAGTGCACACAGGACTCTCTGAGCATCTTCCCCAAGCACTTCAGAGCAGCTAAGTGGATAAAACTGATTTCAGCTATTACCTGGGCGGCTGCTTGTGTCTGTGGAGCCCGCCCTAGAAATGAGAGTCAAGTCCTGGTGACAGGGACGAAGGAAGGAGTGGCAGTAACTGCCTTCCTGGCTGTCCTTGTCTGGCAGCCCACACCCCGGAGCCTCAGGAAATTTGGGTCCTGACTTACTGTGTGTCTAAGCTGCACTGTCCTGAGGGGAGGGTATGGTGGGTTCAACCCAAGAGCATGTATTAGCTGTGTGTCTTTGCAGAGAGGCTCTGGTAGCAGGCTCATGCTTTTGCACATTGAGGGAAGTCTTTCTGGAGGTGGTGAGTTTTTATATTGATTTTCAACATAGCAAGAGTTGGGCTAAGAGATGGAGGAAGTGGGGACAGTTCCCATATCAATGTGTTTAGGACCACTATTTCCTGATATGTTAGTTTCCCCAGCTCGACTGTTGAATCATCCAGGACAGGGAACCATGGCTTTCTCAACTCTGGACCCTCAGGACCCAACTTAGAGATTACTTGTTGTTTGATGATTGGATGGATGGATGAGATTCCTACCTGCATCTAATTTAATTTTCTAAATCCTACCAGTCATCAAATTCTCCCTCAATGCCAATAAACTGGAAGCCACAGCAGGTCATCAACTTTCCTTGATGATGAACTGGGAACCAAGGTCACCTGATGGACGGTCTCAGGATTCTGATGAGAAGCCCATCTCTTACCCAGTTTAGGTGTTGACTGGGGCCTCCTTGCCTCTGTGTTCTAGTCACATTTCTACATTGAAGACAAGCATTCTACATTTGGCCTCTGCTTAGAACTTTGGTCACCCTTTACCTCGTTTAAGGGAAGAATCAGTCACCTTGGTAGTTTTGATGTCCATTTCCATGGATTCATAAAACTTCCTTGGAGAGCAAATCCAGCTGTAATGAATGTCTGCAATCTGTCTCTCCATCCTTTCTGTTCTGCCCTGCAAGGCTGACTTTACAGAAGTTTCCATGGGTTCCTATGTTTTCTGACTTCCAGCTGGGTTCTTCCAATGGGCCAACCCAGCAGAGGAGTGGACCGGGGAAGGGAGAGTGATGTTGGGGTGGTTATTAACCACCACTCACCATCACCCCAAACCTCTCCCTCCCTGGACCCTTCTCCCAAGTCTCTCCATGTAACTTTTACACATTCTGGTACCTGCTCTCTCCTCTCATCCCTTTGAGCCTGGTGATGGTAACAGCTCCATGTTACTGTCCCAAGGAACGAAAGCATCCCTGTGCTCCCTTCCCCTAGAACCACACCACTGAGAACCCTGCCTGTATTTACCCTCCTTGGATTCCTCTAGCTGAGCGTGCCACCTGTTTCCTGCTGGGACCTTAGCTGATCACTGGCCTGAGGCTCTTTTTAACGTCTGAAGAATGACTGCCTCTCCACCCCTTACCTGGATGGAAATTCAGGAATAATATGGCCCTGAAGGGTCACCCCTTATTTGCTCTCCTCATCTGCACCGCCCTTCTCCCCACACAGTCCCTTTCAAGCTCTGCACCGTTTTAAAAGTCCTCGAGAATCACCTTCTTTAACTAACACAAGAAATACTTCCTTTTACCATTTGAAATTAGTCAAAGACATTTACCAGTGAGAGTGTTTTTTAATAGATCAAGATAACAATAGGGCCTACCCTGAATTCTAACCTAAAGCAGAGAAGTACGGTTTCTTGATTTGGCCATGCGACCTAATCACAGGTTGGGGTGCTAAATTTCTTTGGTGATACAGGACGAGAGCTCACAAACCCTATGACTGTTCTTGTAGGGAACCACTGCCCAAAGTTGGGGGAAGTGACTGAAAACCTTGAAGGCCAAGGTCCTATGGCTTTCTGCTAGATGAGAGTCAGCCCCAATCTCTGTAAATAAAGTCATTCATTTGTATTGCCCATGGCAGTGTTTGCACTACAATCACAGAGCTGATTTTCCAGACCATTTGGCCCTTTGTGCAAAAAATGGTTAAAACAGCAGCGTGACTGCTCTCCTTTGTAAGGCCCACTTACATGGTTGGCCCTTGACTGGCATCTGAGAGCTTGGATTGCAGGAAGGTTCCCACCACTCCCACAGATGGTAAGAGCGGCTCACTGTGCCCAAACTGATTATACAACTAATATGGTTTATGCTGAACACCTGCCTTCCTGCTGGAAGTCTGGGATGGGTATGTACCAGGCGGAAGCTGCCTGTGTGACCAGCCTCCAGTAAAATGCCTGGGTGCTGAGTCTCTAAGAGTTTCTCTGGTAGATAACCCTTCACAAGCATTATCTCAGCTCCTTGCTGGGGACTCCTGGGCATCTTCTGTGACTGCTGTGGAAGGACCCTTGGGAGCTGACACCTGGTTTCCTCCAGGCTTTGCCCACGTGCCTTTCCCTTTGCTGATTTGATTTATATCTTTTCCCCCAGAATAAATCATAGCTGTGAGGGCAACTATACGCTGAATCTTCTGACTCCTAGAGAACCACTGAACCTGGTGGTGGTTGGGAGACCTCCCAGCATGCTGCAAAACCCCAGATATTTATTTGCCACCTGGCCCTTTAAGAAGAAGTTTACCAACTGCTCTATACAGTCTTAGGATGAATGGAAAGTGCCTATTAAATATCGCCCCTCCCACAGAACTCTGAGCTCCCTAAGATGTGGCCCAGGTCTTTTGCTCCTTAACTCCTGGTCAAGTGCAGCATCTTACACAAAATTATTTATGGAGGGAAGAAGTCAGCAAGCTTGCAAATAATAGATTCAAGCAGTGTTTTTTAAACTGTGGGTGGTGAAATCCATTTAAAAGGTTGTGACCACTGTTTTTCAATGAAAAAAGTATAGAAAATTCAGTACGCTGCATACAGTGAAGCTAAGTTTGATTTCTTGATAATTTTCTACCAGTTATACCTCTGGACCAGGCACTGTACTGAATCGTAACGTAAAAGGGTCTCTTCTTGTCCATTGCAATGGACGATTATTTGAAGGTCACTGGATTGCGCTCTCTTGGCTGGGTGCCCGAGGAGATGCCCCACAGACCTTCCCCATCTCTCTGGCTGTTAACCTTTGACCTTGTTCTCCCCACCCCCGGTCCCCAGAACGTGTACTACACGAGCAGCCAGCAGATCCATGTGGGCATCCTGAGCCCCACGGTGGACGACGACGACAACCGCTGCCTGGTGGATGTCAACAGCCGGCCGCGGCTCGTCGAGTGCAGCTATGCCAAAGCCAAGAGGATGAAGCTCCACTGGCAGTTCTCTCAGGTAGCAGCCTCGCAAGAGAAGCAAGGGAGGGGCCAGGCCTGGGAGGGACGGGAGGGATGGAGGAGGAGAGGAGAGGCGCCAAGCCTCAGGATTTGATGAGCACCTACTATGTGCGGGGGGCAGCGGGGGTGGACGGGGGGTGGTGGTGGTTGGAATTGTTAGCTCATTAACTCCTGATACTGGCTCTGAGGGAGTTTATTATTATTGTTGTCATTGTTGTTGCTTCAGTGGTATTTTATTGACCTTTTAGATATAAGGAAACAGGCTCAGAGCTGGAAGTCCCCTGCCTGAAGTCACATAGTGAGGGGACAGGGCTGGGATTTGAACTCTGAGCCTCTGACTCTAAAACTCACATTTCTTCTGCATAAGCCCCTTCTGACAAGCACAGCCCCAGTATCGCAGGTACAGACAGTGCTGGGTCATCTGTGATCTGTGAGCCACTCTGCCTTCCTCCTCATTCTGTGGGGAATGAGGTTTCCTCAAAGGGCAGTGTCTGGGGACCACTTTATGAAGGGCAGTGTGCACACTGGTGACCACGAAGCATCCTTTATTAAGCCTCCATCAATTCTGAGGACTGTATTAATCTTCCTGTTCTGCAATGGCCCAGTTATAAAATGATACCCCAGGAGCTGGGTGCCAGCTGGAGACAGCCCACGATGACCCAGCTTTGAAGAAAACCCGCGCCTTGGCCCACAGGCCTCCAGCCCCTAGGGAATCCACTAAGTTAGGATCCATTTCCGCCCACAGATAGGAGCATCCACCTCCCAGGGAGTGGAGGGGAAGCGCTCATCACAGGAGGTAAGGGATTTCTTTTAGAGCATCAGGGTTGCTGGGGGCTGCACGTGGTGGATGCTCCTGGGGAAGTCAGAAACAGAAAGCCTATACTCACGGAATGTAGAGGCAGAGGGCCTGACTCAAGACTCCCAGCAAGCTGCTTCCACCCTGGGAGGAGGCTGACGGGCACAGGAAGGAGCTGTTTGGTCGGCCCGACCTTGATTCCAGCCCTCACATCCAGTTACCTCCCCTATAGTGGTGGACGGGGGGCAGGGATGTCCTGCTACATCAGGTTCTCTGGCACAGGGCACCTCTGACCTATGGTCTGGGTGTGCAGAACCAGATAGACCTGAGAGAGACCCTCAGTTGGGTCCTAAATGGATGGTGAAGGTCAACTCTCAGCGACAAGTTCAACATAAGTCATAGATTCACTGGCTACTTGGAGAGCAGGAGTGAGAGTCTAGACCAGGACTTTGTGACCCCAGGAAAACAGACGCTGGGGAGCAGCACAAAGGGACAAATGACAGCACACACCTAAGGGCAGGTCAGATGCAGCTCAGAGTCCAGGCCGGGCCTGCACAGGGTGTGGGGTTCAGTGAAAGGGAATGGTGCCCAGGGACTGGGGCCTCTGGTCCTGCCCCTTCCTATCCATGTGACCTTTGACACGCGCTGCCAATGATAAAGTTCTGTCCCATAGAAAGAATTAGCTAAGGTTCATACAGTGTTTACCCTGTGCCAGACTTCCTGGATGCCGGGCATACACCGGCTCATTCAGTCATCACAGTGATTGTGTGTGATGTGCTGTGGACCGTTAGCCCAAGTTCATAGATGAGGCACAAAGATATCAAATAATAGACCCAAGGTGTTCAGTTCAGTTCAGTAGCTCAGTCGTGTCCAACTCTTTGCGACCCCATGAACCACAGCATGCCAGGCCTCCCTGTCCATCACCAACTCCCGGAGTCCACCCAAACCCATGTCCATCAAGTCGGTGATGCCATCCAACGATCTCATCCTCTGTCGTCCCCTTCTCCTCCTGTTCTCAATCTTTCCCAGCATCAGGGTCTTTTCCAATGAGTCAGCTCTTCGCATCAGGTGGCCAAACTGGTTATTATCATTACTCCTGAACTACTTCAGATTTTTTCTATCTGTAAGTGTGTGACGATGTTGGAAGTGGCCCCTAGAAGAAGGTCAGGGTCAGGGCTGAGGCTTAGAACAGAGGACACGTCTTCCTCCCACCTCCCCTCTCTCCTGGTGGAGCCCACGTGCCCCAGCTGTGGCCTGTTTGACCCCACACTGTGCCCAGTGGAAGGCTTTGTCATGTTCCTCTGCCAGGCTTCTGGCCCAGAGTGACACAGCTCAGGGCTGCGTCTCCCCTCTTGTTGTTATTCAGTTGCTCAGTCCTGTCCGACTTTGTGACCCCACAGACTGCAGCACACCAGGCTTCTGTCCTTCACCATCTCCCAGAGCTTGCTCAAACTCATGTCCATTGAATTGGTGATGCCATCCAACCACCTCATCCTCTGTTGCCCCCCTTCTCCTCCTGCCTTCAATCTTTCCCAAAATCAGGACCTTTTCCAATGAGTTGGCTCCTTCCATCAGGTGGCCAAAGTATTGGAGCTTCAGCTTCAGCATCAGTCCTTTCAATGAATATTCAGGGTTGATTTCGTTTACACCTGACTGGTTTGATCTCCTTGCTGTCCAAAGGACTCTCAAGAGTCTTCTCCAGCACCATTCGAAAGCATCAATTCTTCAATGCTCAGCCTTCTTTACAGTCCAACTCTCATTTGTACATGACTACTGGAAAAACCATAGCTTTGACTATATGGACTTTCTGTCCACCTTTAAATTACAAGGCAGAAGGAGCCCTGGAGATGTGGTCAGGGAGGAAGGCTAGCTGTGGGCTTGATGGTGATGTGGCTGTTGTCTCCCAGCTCAGGTTAGATGCAAACTAGACTCACAGGCTGGAGGCAACAGAGAAAAATGGGTACATTGGCACATGGAGGTGAATGGGGCTGACTTGGCTGGGTGAGATGGGGACTGTACCATCTGGAGGGTCTTGTCAGGGCTCACATCGGGCTGTTCTGTGCTGCCTTCAGTCACTCTGCTTCACCCCTGCTTTCAATTTCATCCTGGGAGTTGTATGACACCATGCAGGAAGATGGGGGTTGGGGCAGGGCTGGTGGCTTTTCAGAAGAGATAGTATATAACTTGGCTCTTGTAGATGGTATAAGAGTTTGCTCCATAAAGGAGTTGAAAGGGGGCATTCCAGGGAGAAGGAATGGCATAGATGCAAGCTGAAGGCACCAAACCCAAGCCACGTGCAGGGAGCTACAGATGGTGCATGTGTCTGGATCCTGGTGGGCATCGTGGGGCACAGCTGGGGATGCATCTGAGGGGCAGATGGGCCTGGACCTGGTCCCATGGAAGGTGAGGCTTCATGCGGGGGACTGGTGTGTTAGGTCTGGGTTTTGAAAGCCCCCAGTGGCTGGAATTGTGGAGCTAAATGGCGAGGAGAAATTCTAGAAGGGGGAAGGAGGCAGGCAAGGGAGTTACCAGAGGCTGAGATGCAGTTTGAAAGTTTACACATTCCTTCCTCCTCCTCCTTCTCCTCCTTGACCGGGGTCTTCAGGACCCTGCCTGGCCCCCACGATCTCCTGTCAGGACAGAATCTGAGGCTGCCCCCAGGAGTCCAGCATTTGGTGGGGTGGACCAAATAAGCGGGCAGGTGTGGCTGGGCATCCTGGGATGGGCAGGCACACTGCTTCCACTCACTGGAAGAGGGAGGAGGAGAGGACCCAGGTTGCCCTGGAATACCATCGAGAAATCAGGGCCCAGGCAGGCACCTGCCTCTCTGGAAACTGTGTCACTGAACTGAAGTGAGCTCCCTGGCCCCTTCCGAGTCCTTGCTCCTCCCAGAAGCTCCAGAATCACCAGGGGAATAGAGCTCAGACTGTCTGTGGGGCCTCGGCCTCTCTGAGCCTAGCCTCGTGCAGTTTGAATCTGAACTTGGGCTGCTTCGACATCCCAGCCCTGCACACAGGCACGTCCAGCTCCTTTCCAGCCCTCGCAGACAGGTGGCCTTCCCACCCATGTCCAGATCCAGAGGCCTTGGTGCCCCAGCTGGCCCTCATCTCATCTGCCCTTTTCTGAGTTGGGCAGAGAAAGGAATATTCCTCCAAAATCCAGCTCCGTCCTTCACTCATCTCAACACACACACAGCCTTGAACAGGCAGCCCCATGCACTTATGCTTGAAGGGACACCGTGACAAAAGCAGGCCGTGTTAGCATGTGCAGCCCTGGGGACTGGGCAGTTTTTCGCTCCTTATACATAAATCTAATTAGAACTCCCAGGGCACTCTGGCATCACCTCTTTGATCCTTCTACCAAGGGAACTGTTTGGAAATAATATTTTTGAATCCCTAATTTGCAAACCCAGAGCAGCCACTCTCACTTGATATTTAAAAATTAATGCTTGTGAAATTTTTGTTTCATGCAAAATGATCAATATTTATCAAGTATCCTGAAATCTGTCCTCAAGCCCTTACTGTTTAGGAGCTACTGTTCATGAGGCCAGAGGAAGCTTGGGAGCCTCTTAAATGATTAAAATTATGGTCTGGGCTAATTTTCTTGCAACAGGTTTTAATCTTTACAAATTACAAGGGGATTCTACCAACTAAAATGTTCTGGTCCAGAAGTTGGGCTGAAAGATTTTACTGGTGCATTTCAAATCTCCTCACTTTCACATTCTGCATTATTTACTCTCCTGAGGGCTGCATTTAAACTTCACACACAGCTAGGCTGAATTAATTCCAAAATAATCTAGTGTGATTCTCCCAGTTTCTCCTACAAGGAAGATAGTATTTGCATATCTTAGTGTTCCGTCTCATAGCCTGATTTTCTGTTTAACAAATAAAATGCCTTTCCTCTACCCCCTGCAAGCTCTTCTGAATTTCCAGTGCTTCAGGATGAATCAGAACAACATCAGATACTGATACTGAGAAACTACATTTGGTGAAAACATCTCTCAGCGACGCTGATGTACAGGGCTCTGATGAGCAATTTTCCAATGATGAACATTCTTTCCTTCAGTCATTCATCAAACATTTATTGAGCACAGTGGTTGGGCAGGAGGGATGCAGATATGAATCAAACACGGCCTCTGCCCTGGAGGAGCTCTTGGGTGTATAAACACAGAACAAAACTGGATGGCAAGAGCAGAAATGAGG